TGGATGACACGCTTTGTGTTCACAGTCTTCCCGGCCCCGGATTCTCCGCTGGCAGAGCAAGGAGAGAAGCAGAGAGCGTGTGGTCAGGCAGGAGGGGCCCTGGCCCTGGGCAGCCCCGCAGGGACCCGAGCAGGGGGTGTACGTACGTGATCAGGATCGACTGGTTCTCCCGATCTGCGGAAGAGGCAGGAAAAAATAGACTTTATAAACAAAGAACACAAAAATACTGAAAATTACAATGGTAAGAAAAAAGAAGCTGCTTTTTTTTTTTTTTTCTTTATTTACTCTTAAGGATTTTTTTTCCAATTTCAATTTCTTGCAAAATTATTTGCACCACTTTCTCTACCTCTGAACATATTCTCAGCATTCATGATCTGAAATTAGAGAGGTATGGATTTGATGGGTGAACTGTTTAGCCGGATAAGGAACTGGCTTGAAGGCTGTATCCAGAGGGTTACGGTCAAGGGTTTCAAGTTTAATGAGTGGTGTCTCCCATGTATTTCCCCTGGGACCAATATACACCTGCATACACAATGGAACTGAGTACACTCTCAGCAAGTTTGCAGACAACACCAAGCTGAGTGGTTTAATTGATAGACCAGTGGTAAAAGGTATCATCCAGATGGAACTTGACAGGATTGTGGAGTGGGCCCATGTGAACATCATGAAGTTTAACAAGGCCAAGTGTAAGGTAAGGTGATGCACCAAGGTTGGAGCAGTCTCCAGTCTGAGGGGTGACTAGCTTGAAAGCAGCCTGACGAAGAAGGCTTAGGGGTACTGAAAGATGAAAAATCGGACGCAAACTGGTAATGGGCACTTGAAGTCAGAAAGCGAATCCGATCCTGTGGCCAGCAGTCCCTCTCCTCCACTCCTGTGAGACCCCATGTGGAATAACCTGTCCAGATCTGGGGTCTCCAGTACAATACAGACACAGACCTGTTAGAGTGGGTCCAGAGGACGCCATGAAAATGATCTATGATCTGGAACATCTGTCGTATGGAGAGAGTTGGGACTGTTCAGCCTGGGTAGAGAAGGCTCCAGGGACATCTTATTCCAGCCTTTCAGTCCATAAAGAGGGCTTATAAGAAAGATGACAACTTTTTACCAAAGTTGCAGTGACAGAACAAGGGGCAACAGTTTTAGGCTCAGAGAGTAGATTTTATGATGATGGATGTGAGCCACAGTAACAGGTTGCCCAAAGATGTTGTAGATATCTTGTCGTTGGATGTGCTCCAGGACATGGTGGACAGAGCTTTGAGCAATGTAATCTAGTGGAAGATGTCCTTACAAATGTCATAAGGAAGGATTATGTGATTTTTAAAGATCCATTCCAGCACAGACCATTCTGTAATTCTATAATGCTTTTCCATGGATACTGAAGACCCTTGAAGAGCCACGTGTTGCTTCTCTGTACCTCTCTATAGTCTTTTTCCCCCCTGAGTAAATTGTTTTAATTTAATGCTACACAGACTGGTTTTAGAGCAGTAGAGAAGGGAAGAGAAAGGACCTATGACAAAGGAATCCTGATGATGGGTAGTATTTCTGAACTCAATAGCACAGGGAAAGATGTGAAAAGGATGGAAACAAAACTAGCAGCAATAAAAAAACTTATTTCATTTTTCATTACGTAGTTTTGTCAAGACAAAGCTGAACAGTTCTATTAGTGATGTTTCCTATGGCCCTTTGATGAACTCACTTCGTATCATTAGGCAGAATAATGAAGTAGACAGTCTGCTTCATTACAGACCTAATTATTTTCCTTGCTCCACCTAGTCCATTTGGCTTACTGTTTTTCCTTACACAGTATCAAGGGTCCTATACATCCTTTTTAGAAATACTGATGTGAAAAAAAGCCTGTTTAAATTAGAAGTTAATAATGGTATGGCTGAAATAGGTCTTAATGACATATTTAGATATCATCATCAGATTTATCAAGGAAACTCTGTGAACACTTTTAAAATGTCTTATTGATGAAATCACCCTGAGAGCCACTCACCAGTCAGCATGAACTGATAGGCGTTGTCAGAGATGGAGAAGATGTGTGGAGGGGCCTCCTGGCGCTTCTTGCCTCGGTAGGCCAACACCACCTCCGGGTTGTACACGGGCAGCCACTTGTAGGGGTTGACAGTGACGCAGAAGAGACCCGAGTAGGTCTGCCAGGAAGGGACACAGCACGTTGGCTT